TAAATGTTTTAATTCTGCTTACAAAGGTATAATTTACCAAATTGCCATAAGTCATAGCTAGCTCAGGAGAAAAGAGAAAAAGTTTTCCTTAAATCTGAAAAAACAAAGCATTAAAAAAATCAGGAATATTTCAAACGAAAAATCATAAAACTTAAATTATTCTCATCGGTTCATTCAGTCCTCTGTAATGAACTCTTGACCTTAATCTTCTTAGCAGTTTCACAAAGTCATCAGTTTCTGAGTTAGAATTCTGTAATTTCTTACCCAGTTCAGTTTTATGATCTGAAAGTTTGTCAGAAACCTGTATTCCACAGTAAATGTTCGAGTCCTTTCTAGGAACTTTTCTGAAGATGAAACATATTTTGTAAAAGCATCAGAGCAAAGAAATAAGTCTGTAAACAACAAGACCCCAAAACGGCAATTGACAAAGAAATCTGGTTAACTGTGTGACATACAACACTTTAAATAATAATAACCAGAATTATGACTGATAACCAGGACAGATCAGAATTTCAGTAATGTTATATAATTTCAAAATACCTACATCAATAACATTTACCCACTTAATACCACCTAAGAAGGTTTATCATCACTTATTTGGCAATGTTTCCCATGTTATTTAACATACCGAATAAGCCTAATAACTTTAATATTTTCCTCCTTATAGGAAGAGAGCAAACTTCTTTGAGAAGTCCTATGGCCCTTTGAAAATTCTCAAAGAAAAAAGTCAAAAGAAAGACTTTATTTAAGATATGAATTTTGGGGAGCTTGTCAAAAATATAAACAGTCAAGGGCAAACAGCATTAATAGTCCAAAAAGTCTTAATAGAGAGACCTCAGTTTTTTGAACATAGAAAATTATTTTAACAAAACATAGATTTTTTTGTCTTTTAGGAGACTTACTCAAGGTAAGGAAAAACCCTTTTATATAACCTCTTTATCAAGTTTAAGAAAATTATCCTTTTAAGAGAAATAAGACCAAATTATAATTTTGTACCAGCTTACTTGTGACATTCAAACTTATTTACTTAATTGGATTTAGTTTAATCTTAGCCATCTTGACCATGGTAAAACTCCTCAGAATTTTACTTTCACAAACTTTCTGTCACTTACTTTTTACATTTACCATTTGTCCCATGCCTTTCTTTCTTCCCTTTTAGTGCTTTGGGACAAATTTATCTTTCTTAACGAAACCAATAAAATATTTCCAATTTTCATACCTACTTTGCTAAAACACATATCATACTTTCCTTGAATACAAACATATTTTTCTTAATTTTTTAGTAGCTTTAATCACATATTAGAATTTTAAACACTTAGAAACCTTAATTTCTAAGTAAAAACTAAGTAAGCAATTATAAACTTTCTTTTACATTAGCATTCTGTGGCTTGGAAAAATTATAAACACTTCATAATTCTGGAAACATGCTATTTTATAGTACAATATTTTAATAAAACACAAGACATGTTTACCAATAGACCCAAAACACCTTTTAGTTCCCTGTAATAAGAAGCCAAAAGTAGACAAACCTATGTTTAGCAATCAATGTCTAATATCTTATCTTATTTGAAAATGATCTAGATACTCAATGAATTTTTATCATAAAATTTAGCAAAACTCTCAAGTTTTAAGTCACCAAGAAGAATTTGGAAGCTATATACACCACAACCCATAATTATTGTTAAAAGTTCACCCAACATTTATCTTTTTCACATCTATTTAGTTACTTGTTCCCAATAATTATTTACATTGCCTACAAGACTTTATATAAAATTAGGCATCATTTAAGTTATTATTCCTGTTAGCCAGTTCCGTAATAGAAATGACATCAGTTTATTTGACAAATAAAGGCTGCATGTCTGCATTGTATCTGGGATGTGGGATATACATGTGGGAATATGGCTATTCCCACCACACAATCAGGCAAAAAGAGCAGACATTTTAAAACAGACTCAGGCAAAGTTGATGTAACCTTTTTATATAAAATTAGCTCAAACATTCCAACCTTTATAATCTTACACTTTTACATTTTTTCAATTTAATTGTAACCTGAGTCAGGGTCTTAAGGCTATTCAAATTGTTCCCTTTTTTTTTTTTCCTGGCCTTTTCTTAGGTACCAATAACACAATTATGTGAGAGCTCTCAAAAATTTTTTTCCCCAATTTAGAAGTTTTTCTAATTTAAATGATCCATCATCTGGCCATGCGGACGAGTAGGATCTTAATCTTAACAGTGACTCATCCCAAGCTTAACTATGGACACAAGAGGCATTCTCAAAAGAGATCCCAAGAATTCACTCCCAAAAAAAGAAAGCACGAGAGATGACAAAGGCCCCTTATACAAAAGGGACCCCTTATGACAAATTTCCCTGAGAGTAGGCACAGCCGGACAAAGAGAGTTTCTCAGAACCCCAGTCTACTTGACTGGCTGCCAGGATGCATGCAGGTATGTACATTCTCCAGATGGCAGAGACCAGAAAGGTCACAAAGCCAAGTTCTCAAGATACAGAACAAGACAAAAGCCCAGATAACAGGCTTATAGAGATGCCTCTGTCTTATGACAAAGGACAAAAAGAGAGACAGAGACAACCACTATTTCTGGGAAGAAACGGATCAATTATCCAATGGGTACCCAACCAGATCTCAGAGTCGCTGAGTCCAAGAAGCTAGCTTCACCAGTCTTTTCTCCTGTTAATCTACATTTCGAAGGAAAAAAAAACTCACCACTCTTGCTTCTATTGGACTCTGCAGGCAGATATCCGGGAGACAGACATGGTAAGAACTCTCACCTCCTGCTGGCTCTTGTCCGGGGTCTGGGACTTCTCTGCTGCAGCCATCCCGGAGTGATCAGTGTCCAGCCAGTGAACTTTTTGCCGCGCGTTGGGTGCCAAAACTGTTGAGGAAGAGGGAGAATCCCCCTCTGCCCTTTCCTAGAGGTTCTCATGGCTGGCCAAATAATTGTAAGACAGGTTAGCAGGAGAAAATAATACCAAGTTTGATAACATATATACATGGGAGAAACCAGGGAAACTGACTTTCTCAACAAAATGGCAGAGATTCTCACCTTAAATACTATCTTCAGCTAAAGAAAAAGGAGGATGTTGGGGGTGGGGGAGGAGACAAGAGGGAGACAGAAACTGCAGTAATCAAGAGTATGTAGATTTAAGTCCTTTTCTTCTGTACTGATAAGAGTTTCCAGAGATAAGTCCA